AATAATAATAAACGACCAGTGTAAAGGTGCTTTTCTACCGGCGAGGCGAAACGAGACGAGGATTGAAATTCATATGGCAAAATTTGGCTCTTCTAGCCGATCTTCAGTGGAAATGGTCTGGATTGACGAGGGTGGGTGAAGCGATAATTGAAATATTTGTTGATGTAATATTGAACCATATTTCTGCCAACACAGAGTACTCTGCAACGGTATTAATATCTATCGCGAGACTGGTGGATTAGGAAAATTTGAGATTAAAAAAAAAGAATAAACTGATTTAATACTGAAGAAACCGTCTTCAAAAGCCACCCTTAGAAATGGAATATTATCTTCAAATTTAAGTTTTTTAAATTTAATTTAAAAAAGTACTACAGAGGTACCCTCTTTTAACAAAAAAAGAATCATCAAAATCGGTTTACAAGTGTTAATGTTAGGTTTGCCGGAGATATTGCGTAACATATATACAAAAGAATATATAGTCTAATTGACAACCTCCTCCTTTTTTTTAAGTCGGTTAAAAAAGATGGCTTCATCTGATTCTTCAGTTAACACATTTAATAATCATGATTTACGGGACATGTTCCTTCAGCCGCGTCTTGAGCGCTAGACGAACTGCACCGGATCGTCACTATCCCCAACCACAGCACGAGCTATTATCTAATGGCAAAAACAATTGGTGGAAATACTCTCTGGTCTCACATACACATAGACGCATATACAAGCCATGCTACTACTTTTGTACGGAGTTACGATACTTGTTTTACGTTATACTATGATAAAAGTCTGAGACTTATTAATATGTGTTACAGAATTTTTTAGATTATCTATTTGTAGTTTAAGTTAAGAGTTGATACTACCTCAGCCATTAACCAGAGCCATTTGAGGTAGTATAAACTCTGAAGTAGCTCATTATACACAAGTATGTGTGTAGAAATAAGTCTGTAATTTCTGATGAAATTGTATCAAGTACGGGAAGAAGGATTCTTTTTATTTGCTCATGGTACTTAATCTCATTATTTCGCCCGACGATTGTCGGGAGAAGTCCGTTCCACCAATCACAAGCGCTCTTTCCTGGCTGGTGATTGGCAGAGAGCGTGCTTTTCCAATAGAGCAGCGGGTCTATGACGATCAAGCAATAGTAGTTATTATATGCGCTCAACAGATGGCGTTGCGATAGGCTGTCATATGCGGTAAACAATAGATTATTAAAGAGGGCAGTATGAGTTTTTCTTATTTGTAAGTTGACGGAATCTGAAGAAATGTAAAATTTAAGTCATGGCTGTGATAAATTTTATTAATTAGAAGTGAAATATAGTATAGAAAAATATTTTTTGTATTGATTGTTGTTTTATTTTCTAATTTTAAGTAAAAAAATAATAATTTTAGTTGGCTCGGTCGCGCTCGCCGCCGCCCCCATTACTATGCCGCTCTGGGACCACGGCCCCCACGGCACCCCCACGCTACGTCAATAAGCCACATTATTGCTACCATCTTCAGCAAGTATAGTGGGATATACATACATACATAGATAATGGCGGTCTCGAGTAAAAGTCACATTTTTAAAAATCCATAATTTAATTTTATTAACACTATCTGACAATATTATAACAAGTCGTTTATGTACAAAACCTTCTCTAAATACTTTTAACGTATTTTTTTTCTATCATTTCGTATAGTTGGCGCCGAATGAATTTAAATTTTAAGAAAAAAAAAAGAAAATTGTTATTGGACTTATACGAAATTGTCATGACAAAAGTTCAATCGGCACCTTCTATCAAATTTACAACTACTAAATCAATGAATTGAGCACATTGTTTACAGTGCTGTCTAGTACATCATAATCTAAAAAAACTTAAAACTTAAAACATAGGCAATTTTCGTTACCTTTAAAAGCAATTACTTCAAAATTGTACTAAAATTATGAGAAGAAAAATAAAAAAAATAAAGACCCATTTGTAATTTAAAAAAATCACGACGTGACATTTTAATTCAAATATAAAAAAAAATGTTGCAAAGTAAGATTTTTTGTTTCTTAAAATAATACCCATGCCTATATTTCAAGTTTTTTGTTCACAATTGAAATTAGTAGACGAAAAAACGTATTAACTGGATTTTAGTTACACAGGGTACTTTTAATATATTTCTCCAAGTCGACAGGTTTTAGAACTTGACTTTTTTGGCAGTTGTACTGTTGGAGTTATTTATGAATGTTTTATAATTTTAAAAAACCTATTGTAGTACAAGAATAAAACGTGTGTGAGATGATTTAAAATAAAATAGATAAAACCATTATCGATGGTGATGATTTAAAAAATTGGGTAAAAACATTTACTAATGATTTAAAATGGATTTTTTTTATTTAGAATGGAGTGTAAATAAACTTTTAATTTCATTCCGTTATAAACCATTACATTTTGATCGTATCGTAGTACTCCCAGCTCGAAGGACCAAATGTTTGGATCTATGTTGAAGTGATAGTTAAGTAGAGCAGGATGAAGTATGCTGAGTTGACGTAAACTACAATTTCCGTAATAAGTTAATACAGAAAAAAAGTGTATGTGTAGACTTGCATACTTAACTGTCGCTAGTGAAAGCGAGATATCAACTGCAATGGCGGCTATTCAAGTTCACAAAAAAGTTGTATGGAGCAAAAATTGTACCTACATAAGTAAAGATAGTTTTCTAATCTATTTGAAATCATCTCAAGCATTTTTATTTTACATATCGATCCCTCCTACGTAAAGTATAGTACGTCGAAATTACCAAGTTTACAGGGGAGCGTTTTATAGTTCTGAATTAGAAGAAAAGAAACTTTTTGGTTTAGTAGGTCAAATATTTAAACACAGTACCTACACTGCCAAAAATTAACAATATTCCAGACTATTATCACAATTGTTATTACATAAACAACGTTATTTAAAGCGATGTTAAAAATACTGCAATGGTTAAAGTTTGACAAGTTAACACAGATTGTCCGTATAAAATTATATTATAAAAGATTAGTAGAACGGATGCAGCGTTTCCATTGGTTGGACGTAAAGAAATAAATGACCAATCGGAGCCATAAATTACATTTTAAGAAAGACAAGTAAAAGTCTGTGTTATCTTGTCGTACAATAACAAAAAACTTAAATGTAAAACTATATAGAAAAAATATCATTTAGAAATTCGTAATTCGTTGCGAAATTAAACTTGACACAACGTAACAAAAAATTAAGTAAGTACAAAATAAATGCCGATCACTACTACGGGCCTGTATGATTTTTGAACACACCTACATTGCGTACGTACTAACTTATCCATTATATATCTTTGGATAGTCTTTGTTCTTTTGACTAATTTATGCTACGAATAATGTAAATGATTTATATTACACTATTAATTTACATAGACATAGGTTCCGCTAGAACTGAACTGATTTTGTAGTTAATCCCGTATGGACGGATATTAAAACTTCTAACAGTGTTGCCATGCTTACAAAAGCTTGTTTATTTGCGTGCATAAATTATAGTTTCGTTAATAAAAATTTTAGGTTGAACATTTTATTCATTTGGCAACCCTAAAGCCTACAGCTAACCGGTAGCTAAGGGTTGTCACAAAGAAAGGAATCCATCAAGAAACAAAAAACAATAATATAAATGACACATAGTTAAAAAAAAAATTATTTGCTAGAATTATTATTTACATACTTGTATTATTATATTTTAAATCTTATTTGTACAACAGGCTAGCTTTATTAAATCTGGGGTTTATTTGACGCTGGTTGTTTCTTAGCGAGCAGTCTCGTCTCATTTTTCTCTTTACTCTTTCGTATAACGTATTTGGTAAAAAATATAAGATTTCAAGCATGGAAGAGCATAATTATTATAATAAAAAAGTGTACTTGGTCACCCTCTTTCAGATTGTAATAATTTTTTCCCTAAAATTTTTTACTATATATATTTATTTTGTATATTATATATATTTCGTAAATAACAATAAAAGTTTTACTAATGAATGCTGAAGAGAGGATTCGTTTTATCTGCAATTACTGTTGTCAGTAGTGGCCTTAAGGTAGCAAGCATTTATAACTCTACTACAACCTACTTATGGCTGTAATTATATTTAGAGCGGTGGCGGTGTTTTCTTCGCTGACGCTTTAATTATAATTAGAAACTAAGCGAAGTAGAGCGGTGATATACCTTACAGGACCCTTGCAGGACTATATTAAGGGCGTTCCTGTTATGTCGTGTTCCTGTTATAACATATAGTCGTTCAGTCTAAAGTGTCGTGGCTTGTACATTTAAATGAAGGTGTTCAACACGATTAACTGTCGTTCACGCCTTTTTTGACGTTACAACAACGGACTGTCAAGACAATTGGAAGAGCTAGAACGACAGTCGTCTGATGATAAATAATACGTGACGATAAAATTGTGAGGACAGATAGCCGCAACTACAAACGATTCTGTCGTGCAAACGACAAGTCGGCTGTCGTGAACCGATAAATTGTCAACACAACAGTTGTTCAAAGATAAAATAAACGTCCAAGGCACATGTTAGAATTTTAAAACGTTACAACATAATGGGAACACCCCCTAACTAACATCATAAAAACAACTTTTGTTACATGACGTTTTATAAAACATAATATATTTACCAAAGTTTTGTACTATCAGTCAGAGTTGTATTTGGTAGTAAGGTTAAAAGTTCAATAAATGTGCAAGCGTCTTCCCTGCCCCCACCCCAACGACCCCCGTTTAAACGTTTTGCATCGTACCGCACAGAGTTATCACTGTTTATAGTGTTCTATTTTAATATTTTTATTTTTGTGCGAAAGTAAATCTGAGTTATTAAGTCATGGGACAAATGTTGTTATTTATGATGTTAGTAATTTACAAATGACCCTGTAAATCACCGCTAAATAATAAAATACATTAAAGCATATCGTCATCCGGATTTTGTTTGTCGTAAATCTCCTGCATTTTCTGTTGTTCCTTGATTTTTTTCATCTGGGCGTAAATTGAGGCTGCTTTGTAATTAATCGGTCCATAGTCCTTCATGTCCGCGTCGGCGTAAATGAATTGGTCATCCGGTTTGAAAGGCTGTGAATAAAAATTGGGGTTTGATTTTTCGTTTTCATTTTCAATTGTTGTATTTTATTGTCTGCACCGTCACGTAAAGGCTTTGTAACTGATTGTAAGTGTTCATTTATTTATTTTCAAGGGTCTATCTATAGCGTAAAATTCGAGCATACAAATGTACTTTGCAGGACAGGAACTGTATATAATAAAAAATGTGTGCTTTTCATCCAACTGTTGTGTGTGATTGGAAATATTGTTTTGCTAGTAAATAAAAATGGTAATACGTATTAAGTGAAACTATAATAAGCAAACAAAATAATAATATTATATATACTATAAATATAAATAAATAAAACAAAATTCATAAAACATGCAGCAAGTTTTATTTAATAAAGAGGTTCTATTACATATATATGAATATTAAAACAGTAAGAAATATTTTATTAAATAAAATAGTTTTAAAGAAAAAGCGTACGTGAGAAATTAAAATACACAAGAATAAAAGAAACATTGAAAGCGATTATGTATGAATTTAGAAAAATTACCTTTATTTAATAAATGTACGTGTCACTCTTGGTAAAACGGGCCTAGAAATAAAAAGATCAGAACGTCACAACACAGCATTTTAACATGCCTATGATAAAAGCATTATTATTATATTTTTATGTTTTATTACATTATTAAATATTTATCGTAAATTTGAAAATCATGCTTCAGGCTTTCACTTAATAACACATATTACCATTATTTTTATAAATTATTAAAATGATAGACAAAAGTTTTGAAAAATCAGACATAAAAAACTCGTGACATATTATTTTTGCTCAAAAGTTAAATGAAAATATATTTTGAATTGACAAGAACAGACTGAAGTTTGAGGTTAAAATATTTCAAGCCATATCTTCCTCTCAATACTTTACTTACCTCTCAAACGTCAATCTCGTTGAATTTGAGCGTCGCATAATCACTCCTTTGCTGACTATGACTGCCTTTTCTTACATTCTTATAACTACAGTTAGTTTCCTTGTTAGTACTATCTCCCACCGCGTACGTATCATACAAGTGTCTATTAGAATTGACTGTATTCTTAAATTTTAAATTATGGTTCCCTAAAGCTAAATCTGCATAAACTAACTTCTTATGTTTAGGTTTATCATCCTTATTACCAGTATTAAAATTATAATTCTCAGGACCAAGGTTTCTTGTTGAATTTGATATGTAATTCCCTTTCAAGAACTGTAAGTAGTTTCTTCTTTCACTGTCATTATATTCAGGTTCCGGGTAATCTGGTTTCTCATAATTATCATACACTCCGACACATGACAGCTTTTCTCTGAGACTTTCAGATTTTTTTAGACGATTCAATTTCTGTGAGTTCTTTTCTCTAGTTCTGTTCAAGGTTTTGGTGTAGTACTGAGTGTCTGGAGGTTGATATATCAAGGGTCCTATTGTATTATTGTACGATCTTTCCTGATCAACAGGCAATCGTTTGTCGACTCTTATTGGTTGAAAGTAACAGAAGCTATGGTGTTTCTGCAGAGGTATTTGAAAGTTTTTCTTGTTTTTCCCTTTGGAGCTAAGGTTAGTGAAATGATTGCGCTTTTGTAGGTACTGCTGTTGTAGGATGTTAGTATTCTGAAAATGAAAACATTAGTCACGTTTATTAGTTGGTTATTGTAAGAATAAGACAAACATATGGGGTACGAAAATGGGATGATAAAAAAAAAGAAAAAAGCGTTATACCTCAGAATTATCGCTGTTGATAGTTAAACTACTTTGAACGGAATTGCTGCGCCGTAACGTTCTCTTTGGTACAGGTTTTTCGGATAACTTTGGTATTTGTAAGGGTTTTTGGAGTATCACCTGTCGTTTCGGTAAACCGACTTTATTAATCTCAGATTTTTCATTAAATTGGCTCACAACGGCTTTGACTAATGAACTCGAAGGTAGAATTGCCGACAAGTTTCTTTTTGGAGTTGCTCCGATTATATTTGGTTTGGAATCCTGTTTCTTTTCAAGATTTTCATCATTTGCTCCATCATTATCGTCTTCATTACCACTCTCATTGTTTTTAGATTCATTATTATTTTGTACTTTATTTAATCTAAGTTTAGGAGCTCTAGGTAATGATAAACCAGATTTCTCAGTCTTTGAAATATCTTCCGCAGATTTTGTAGGTCTTACAGGAGCATCAACTACGTCATATGATTTAGTAAAGTTGGTTTTTATCAAAGGCATTGATAAATTTACATACACGTGATCTTTATTAGGAGAAGGTTTAACAGGAGAGAGTTTTGTTCTAGGTGCAGGCACTGGTCTATTAAGAGAATCGTTTGAAACATTAATTTGATCAGCGCTCTCTTCGCAAACTTGTATAGAATCTGTGAGATTCTCAAACTGATCCACACCACTTATATTCGATTTAATTTTAAGCAGCGAAGGGAAATTTGCATAAATTATATTCTCGACTTCATTCAGTACATCTTTGTCACTTCCAGATTCGTCTTGATCCTTGTTATTGTTTATTTCAGTAAAGTTTTCTCCATATTCAGTATTAGGGTAAAATCGCTCAATATTTCTTTTGCGGACGGCTCTCATGCTTTGAAACTGTGGAAGTTTCCTCACATTTCTCGTATTAAGAGAGGAGAATTTCTTAGTGTCCGGTTCAATTTCTTCATCAATCGTTGGGAATTGTTTCAGAAATGACGTTTGCATTGCTGGCAAGTACGAATTAAGTAACACCGTCTGATGTAAAGGATACATTTGTTGTATCGGTGATAGTACTGGTATTCCATAGGTAGTTTGTATTTGAGAAGTTGATGGAGAATTTATAGGATACGTTACTGTATTCTGAACGAATGGTGGGCAGACAACTCTTGGTGTAAAAGATGGGTTTGTAGTCAATTGCTTTTGTAAGTCAGCTATTCCTTTGGCAGTTTTTTGGTTAGTCTCCACGATTCGAGGTTGTATGACTTGCACAGGCTTTTATTGTTGCATGCCAAAACAAAACATGAAATGAATGAAATTAAATAAATTAGAAATGCAAATTAATTGATGGAAGCAAAAACAAGACAAAGAACAAAACAATGTTAACATATAAAGTTGATGGTTTTTATAGATATTACAGATAAATCTTGTTTTAATACATATTTAATGGTTTCTTTAAATATATTTCAGTTAATAAAGAATAAAAATAGGTAAGGTAAAGGTAGGTACTTCAAGTAAAGTGATTATTTATATTTATTATGTGATACATACGTTGTTCCGGAATAAAGATATTAATAAAAATTAAGTAGATGAAGATAAAAATGTCGTAGTATGTTTTAAAACCAAATAAAAATTAATTTATTAATGACACAGACCTTCATACATGAAGTATTCTCATCATTCAACAAATATCAAGTATACAATACCTTATTAGGAGGTTGTTGTAGACCGTGGAACGGCAGGTTCTCGTAGACACCTGGGTTGTCCGCTCCAAGGTTGCCGTTGGGGGCATTATCTACGCCATTCGTAGGTGGGCCTATGGAGTATAAATGAATCTTATAAATGTTAAAGTTTATACCATTTGGTGATGTTATGGGTACTGTTGATATCACTTAAAAAGAAAGAGAACAATTATTTTCCAAAGTTTTTGAACCGGAACTGAATAAAAAGGGATGGAATACTCTAATGAAGGCTAGAGTGAATAGGCCTTTCATTAAACATCACATCAGATGATATTGTGATTGTGACCATGCATTTGAACTTACATCAATAGTTTTAAAAGTCAAAATCTTTTTGAGATCCAGTCATTCTCTGTTCTTTAAGATGAGTAACAAACACAACAATAATGTAGTTTACGTCTCTATAGAAAAACAATATAAAAACCATGCAAGTACTTACTCTCACCAGGTTTTTTTCTTTTCCTACATGTTTTGGCCGGTTCCTCACGAAAAGGTTTAATAGGGGCACTGGTTGCAATTTTATCAGGCCTTTTGAACGATACAACTAAAACACGTGCAAGGGTTAAACACAATGCAAAAAGTAACAAACGTGCGCAAAAACAATGTGCAGGCGATAAGCAATAAAAGAAAAAAAGCAAATGCAATAATTGGAAAGATTTTGATAATCATTCAAACCCAACAATCTATGGTGATCTTTGCGGGGCAAAAGTTACAAGTGAGGTATTTATTATCACAGGAAAAGTGATTAGGGAATTCATAGAGAAGTATCGAGAAGATGGTTATATTGAGTAATGGGTCAAACAGAGATGAAATTGACTAATAATAACATATCAGTAAGAGTTCACAATTGAGTCAAATGATCACAATAGATCAAAATAACTGTGAAAAAATGTGTGCGTTTTGTAATAGTGTGTAATGTAATGAAATGTACGCAATAACTACCTCCTTCCGTAACTATTACATTAGGCGTTTCACTTTGAAAAAATGAACGTAATCTATTCTTTGGCAAACTATAGCCCATTTTATTCAAATTCACTAACGACACTGCCCTTTTGTTGGTTTTATTAATCTTTTTATATTTGCCGCTGTCATCTGAATCAGTGCTTTTTCTTCTTAGGGTTTTAAAAATTCCTGTCACAACATTTTGAGTATTTCGTCTGGGCTTCCCTGTCTTTTTTGAGTATTCAGTCTTGTCTTGGGAATCGTCAGTCTTTCTGTTTCGTTCTAACAAACCGAGATTTGCTTCGTCGTCTCTTTCTTCAGCTTTTGAAATATTTGCGGCTTGCAGCCTCGCTTGATTCTTTGGGCTTAGTGTATGGTTTGAATTCACATGCACTAAGACACCAGGTTTCAAAGGCCATTTGTTGGGTGATACCACAGGTGACGGATTTGCTTGTGCTTCGTTTCTTGTTGTCGTTTTTGGTGTCTGTGTTTCGTTGACATCGTTTACGTCATTGGCATTTGGAGATCTGTGAGCGTTAATAGTTGCTTCCAGCTGGGATAGATTGGCTTGTAAAGTCGAGTTTTCTCTAAATTTATTCATTTCTAAATGACTGTTATCAACCAACCGTGTCCGATCACAAGATTTAGGGCTAAATGATAGATTTATCCTTGGCGATAGTGCGGGTAACGCTTGTGATATTATGGATTGGGCAATAGATACTTCATTTAGACAGCTACCATCGGGACTATAGGAAACAAAAGATAAACAAAAATACAATCAAGCGATGATTACGAATTAAGTCAAAATCAGGTGATTTTGGTAAAAAAACCATCTGTCATATCGATCATTCGTGTATTGTATTTTAATATAAAAATGACAATAGATAAATGCCTATATAGTAATATAATAATTATATTTAATTGAATGTGATAAGATATGAATATCATGGATATCAATTTAAAATACGTACGTTGCAATTTAAATAAAAAATATATTGGATTAAAATATTAAGATAATAATAAACATTATAATATATCAAAATATACATATGTAAAACGATGTCTATACATGAATTATAGGAAGAATGCTTTCCTGTGTAATTTTCCATGCACAGTGATATTAAAGTGAAGTTACGCTGAATACATTGACTACACAGATGTAGGAGACAAGCGTGAATTGTGCTACTTATGTAGCCCTAGTCCTCTTCTGTACTGCATTTTGAACAATCGAAGGTTTACTACTGAAGTATTATGTAAGGAGGGAGTGAAGAATGTAAAGAAACAGTAATTCGTGGAAAACTCAAGATTTTTCGGTCTAGTGTCTTATTGCAGTTCTTAAGTGTCATTAATTTTCGAATTAGGTTCAAATCTCGCAGTATTTTAACTGTTGAAGAATTAAACAATTCACGTTTGCCTCGTGTTTTGTGTTACCAAGATATTTATACGCAACACGTTCTAATAAAGAAACGGTTCGAAGAAACAAAAAGAAATCCACACAAACTTCAAACGTTAACGCCAATATACAAAGCTACCGAGCCAAAAAAGACTGAAAAAATAAAGAAAGCATTCTCCATCTATGTCAATACAAATTTTGAAGTATAAAAATATGTTAGTTTATTTATACCTGTGTTATGGATCGTAGTTAGTCTGAGAACGTCAGGTGTTAGTGCAGTTAGGAACCTATCGAAGAATACAAATTTGATGAACATAATAAGAAAGTTAGCTAAATAAACTGACAAAGTCAGGAAGTAATACGGCTCCTTTGAAATAAATACTTTGAATTTAGTATGTATAATTGTAAATTTTTTTATAAAAATAGACCTATGTCCATACAAATTTTGAAGTTAAAAAAAACATTAAAAACATTATTAACATGAACATATCGCACTGTTAATAAAATAGTGTATTAACTTAAAAAGTGTATTTTCTCAGAATCAATTAAATACGATTTACTCGCTTCCCGTAAAAGATTATTAAATTTATGCATAAGGTAATTTCATATTTTCGAGTAAGGACTGTTACGTTCGATGTTAGTAGAACTTTGTCCCTTTTAGAGTTAAGTAGATATCCTTTAATTGTTTCTTACAATATTGTAACGACGATTTTATTGACGTGTTAACAGAATTTTTCATATTTCAATTTTACCTTCAACAATAGTATAGTAATAGCAGTGAGATATTTAGAGGAATGTTAAAAAAGGTTAAAATATGATAATAACGTTCATACGAATCACTGGCCGCATAATTATCTGGTATATGAACAGGAAAACGTTTAATCAAAATTAAAATAAGACGTTTGGTCATTCTTTTCTCAATTTAAACGTTCTGGTACACGTGGCTAGTGGTTCATTATGAATATTTATTCGAAATCAAAAGACGATTGAAGTAATTCTTTTTTCGAATTAAACGGCCCAGAATCACATATACCAGAACGTTTATTGTTCATTATTATGGACATTTAATCGAAACAAAAGACGATTGAATGTTTTCTTTTTTCAAATAAATATGACCTGGTAGGTATATGTGGCCACAGGTTTCGCGTGAACGTTCATTCGAAATTAAAAGACGATTGGTCATTCTTTTTCCAATTTAAACGTTGATAATTCAATCTGTTTAGTCGAATATGTTCATGAAAGGAGTACAATAATAATATTTATTTCTCTCCATAAATTTCGTTTACGAAAAGGCAAATCTTTAGGAGACTGGAATTTAAACTAGATCCAAAGTCTTACGCTTCCAGTAATAGTTTAAGCGACTGTGAACACTAAACGAGGGGGTCCCGGGTTCAATTCCCGGTAGGACCATTTGGGAAAAGAACTTTCATGATTTGTTCTGGTCTGGGTGTTCCCGGTATAGTAGTTTTGAACCAGATGTGGTTGTTAGACTTTTTTTATCTTGTCCATGCAGCCGTAAATATTACTATTAATAAAATATTGGTAAAGAAACATAGTACTTTCTGACTTTGTTTTCGAATCCCTAACAATACTTAACAGGTTTGAGTTATTCATAAGGGTTACTGTAACGAAACATGCTAATACTAAAAACACTAATGATAAACTCTATTAAAAGTTAGTTTTCTAACAAATAATGACACTATTATGTAAAAAAAAAACTAACAGCCGTTGGTCCAAGCACTTAGTAAAATTACAGGCTCCAAACTCAACCCAAACAAAGGCCTTTTTTGCCCCTTCGAGATTTAACTTGTTCCAGTTTTTGGAAACTATATCTCTAGTTCAAATTCATGTACTTGCATTGAGTAACCAGCAAAATTTTATTTACCCAACAGTTTTCTATTTATAAGCTATTTACATTTTTTCTATTATGACATATTGTACAGTTAATGCCTCAAGATACCCCGACTCTCTAGATGACCTTTTGGTTCTGAGCACACAAAAGTGAAGAAAGTATCAAACGAACTTAATCTTTACTTCGTGAGATGTAAAATTCATTTTGGCATGATTTCCTAACGATTTTTTTATGAAATGTAATATTGGCTAAATGAAGAGGATAATTTTAAGCAAACCTCCAACGTTAATGCTTTCAATATTAACTGCCTCATGCAGTTAATAACATAGTAACCCTATACTGGACGGCCACGCAGAGGTCCCGGGGTCGATTCCTGGGCTGGGAGAAATATTTGTATGGCCTACATTTATTTCTCACGTGACCTTGGGTGTAATTTGTGCTTGTCAGTGCTTGTGGGTGTCCATAACACCCGCGACACTGGATTTCTCTAATGCGAGGCTATGAGTGTGTTATTAGTTTAGAAAGTTGAAATGCCTTTAACACTTTTTTGTTGTATGTATAAAATGCTCATAGAACCGAAAGGTCTGTTGAAGGGCAGATGTCTCAGGACACACACTGTACATACATTGCAAGCAGTTAAAAAGAAAATGTATGGTACGGTAAGGCTGTTGCTTCATTAATTTGTAATTGACACCAATTTCTAAAGTATTGAAATTTGATTTCCATTTATCGACGCTTTAGATTGAATAGCTCTTATGTGATTTCTATGTAATTTTTCAGAATAAAGGTAAAAATGTGGTGTAAAATATAGTAAACACAATACCGTTTTGTTAGCTTTTTAATTAGTTAAATTATGCCGTTTTCAGATCATCAGTTTAGAAGCTTTGCTTCAACAAAAATAATTAAAAAACAATGTAAAAATGCGTGAGATTTTCACTCTGAAGCGACGATATACACTTTATATAAAGTACAACGTTTATAATGTTATATTCTTGAGAATAAGTTCAAACAATCTGGGGCAAGATCCGATCTCGAAGGGGCAACTGTGGCCTAACTAACTTGGCCCAAGTGTTTCTCAGTATTTCTGCATGGGGACTAAAACCGGCGACCGGGTTGGGGGCATCGACAACGTGTGCCACGAATCTGCTCGGACCAAGGGCGCTGCAAATTGGGTATTTTTTTAAATGTCTATCTATGGGGCTACTTAATGGGGCAAGTTTTGTTGTCTACGGATTTTCTAGGGGCAAATGACACTATTGGGTTTCTATGATCTGTAATAGTTTTTTTTATAGTTTTAAAAAGCTGTTTTTTACTATTTTTTCTTCAATTTATGTAAGTCATTGTCAATCTTACAAAATTTAAATTAAACATAGAAACAAACTAAGCTATAGACTTGCTAAGAAGGAGGCTGAAAATCTAGATAACATAAATAAATAATAACATTATTATAATGTTAAAAAAAATACAAATATATAAGATTAAACAAATAGTTAATAAGGTAAAGTAGTCTAAGAAACTTTTTTTAACAAAAATCAAAAACATTCAGGTTTAAAAATGGTTTAAAAATTTCTGTTTATTTTTGCCATTTTGTTTTTCGTCTGAACATTTTTGATTAGATTACTAAAAGAACTAAATTTTAATTTAAGACTAGACATTCTTGACTATCTAGAAATATAATATATATATATATATTTTTATAATTAAAACAAGTAAATTAAAAAAGGAGACCACACTTACTTTTCTCTCTCCTCTAACTCCACTGGATTATTGTCTAAATTATATTTATTCGTCGATTTGTTTGTTATTTTTGTTTTTTTTGTTAGTCATCATGTCAGTGTTTAGTAGGGCAGCGTCCGAAAAAAAATCAAAGAACAAAATTAGTACAAGAAAACACTAGTGCAAGTTATTTTGTCTATATTTTTTACTGTTCATGGAAGAGCCAGGGGAAAAATCCATTTAGTTATATTGGCGACAATCATTATCATTATTACTTAAGCCGAAAGACGCCTATTGGTCATAGGCCTCCCTAAGACCACCACAACGACTAGTCTTTCACTGGTCGATTTACCTTGAAAGTGGTCTGCCCTCACTGCGTCTGGTCAGTCGAAAACTAGCCGCGAGTAATGTGCCCCGCACTATTAAAGCCACGCCGCTATTGGTAACATTATGGTACAGTTGAAGAAATAGTGGGGAGTAATGTGCCCCGCACTATTAGAACCACGAGTAATGTGCCCCGCTATTGGTAACATTATGTTATAGTTGAAGAAATATTATTTGCTCCGATGAATGTTATCCCATGGAACGGCTTATCCTTTCTAATACATGGACTGAATGATCTCGATCCATCGTACGGGACATGTGTGCGCTAAATGGTTTTTCTGAATTCTAGTTTTAAATTATTTCTCTACTCATCAGACGTTTTTTTAAACCTATAGGTACTTCATAAAACACCGTCTGCAGACTCTTTCTCACTAGTCAAAGAAAATTAGTTCCGCATAAAGATAAATAAGTTTAGAATAAGTGCCAATGCGTAAAAGTGTTTAAATTAGTTGTTTGCACTTATACAGATAGCACGTACATTACCGAGACTCACTCTTGTCCTATTGTATTCTAAGATAAGACGAATCCGTGCAAATAATCTTTGGCCAACTATAACAGTATGGTTGGAAAAGCCAAGGTAGCCGAATACTTTGGCCTATAGCTTTTCTAGCAGAGACCTCTGATTTTTTCGGAACTTATGCGCAAAATCTTTTGTCTTCTACCAGCCATCTTTTATAAGACTATTGTAACAAACTTAATTATTGTTATTTTGAGGCAACGCACTTGACGGACATAAGATCTAGCTACTCATAGTACAGGGGATTTTTCTGTATTCTGCAATAAAGTTTTTTATTATGAAATTTGTCATGACGCTTTTTATGAAAGTAAATATCGCGATGCAACCTGCAAGAAGGTTCACAACCCACATTGAGATAGCGTGGCGGATTATGGTCAAACCCGCGCCCAGCATTAGGACGTATATAAATGGGTTGATAATAACGATGATGATTGGTAAAATATATTTTAAATTAACTCCAGAAAATCAGCAGTTCTCAATTAATTTTTATATTACCCTGGACGTTTAACTTAGCAAAACTGACAAGATTTGTTCCCTGGCGCATTCATACAACGTTCATGACAATTTATATTTTACTAAAAGTCTTCTCTATCTTTGCATTCTGAAGAGACAATAAGAAAGTAAAGCACTTTAAAAACATTCACAGGCCAAAAAAAATTGATTTTGACTTATTGCACATTGAAATCAATATCGTCACTAAACGAAAATATCGACTCATCCGAAGAACAGAGTCCGATGTGATTATATAGCGAAAAGAGAATAAGTACGTTACGAGAACAATTTCGTTATTCAAACTAAGGCCTATGTAAAGGTATTTTGAGAATTTATATATCTTACTTCGTTTCGGAAATATAAAATCGAACAAAGGTCGATCTGACATCCACAGCGAAGAAGAACGAACGAAATGTACGATGTCCTGAGAACAAGTAGTTTTACACATACAGCTTTGTTTTACGGATGTGTCGATAGTTTTTTTAAAAATAGAACTTATTTTTAAAAACATTAAAGTTCATTGCCTAAAAAATAATTTTCTTATTGCTTTCAATGTGCGATATAGCCGTTCTCCTCAGTAACTGCTATATCTGGCAGTTTTGTGGTAACTGAGGGAGTTTTCCTTAATCAACTTTCAAAAGCAAACATTCTCCACTTATAGTCGTAACTCATTGTTAGAGAGTTTAACACGAGCTATAGCTTGACACGTGCAGGGTTAAACCGAAAATGCTTTACTTTGAAAAACAAACATATTTCAGCTGGTAATCGTGATGATTATTATAAACAAGAGGTGACAAATCTAGTTTTTATGTTTTCGTGACTACATATAGGAAATTAAACTCTCTTTTCGGGTCCCATGGTCACGGTTGACTCAACCATGGGACCTGTAAAGGATCCGACAAGGTAATTCGTTTGAAAAAAAATTAACGCGATTTAAATCCGGAAAAATAGTTTCCCGTCACTCTCAGACATAACGCACTTGACAACTAACATATATTATCTCAAAATTCCGTTATATTAATAATTTATCTCCAAAACTTCGCCATATTTATATGTCATTCGTATACGATTTAATTTCAAAGTGACAGAACAACACTGTCGCTTTGAAATTAAATAAGTAATATTAATATAACTTAAAGCAATTTAGAGATAATACTATGTTAATTGTCCTGTGCGGTTGACAAGTCCCATGTTACAGGCATATGGGATTGGGACATTTCACGAGCACCCTAATTATTTAGGACTTTTACTTAAAAATATGAAAGTACTGACTCCGCTTCGTTACGATGCCGTTATATGTTATTATAATATAATAAATGCATGGGTGAGTTATTACAAGGGCGTTGCGGGTTTACATGGTAAGTACCATCAATTTGACCAGTATTAAGTATCCAAAAAAGCGTCCGAATTACAGGCACATGGAACTAGCCAACTTGTGTCTCAGGGTGCCAGGCGTTATAGCGTTAGGCGTCTTTGCGATTTAAAGCTCTGCGTGGCACTGCAAATGTTATGGACAGTCATGTCGCTAACACCACACGACTTGTCCGTCCCCTCACTTGACATCATAAAAAAGTACTGGGAGGTCTATGGTCTGTGTCTTTTCTAGAAGGAGACAAGTAATATAGAGTATCTAAGTGTGTTATTCCTGATATTACAAGTTTTATCGAGCGAGGCTCACTAACTTATTAATTATGGTGTGGGGATACTGATAAATTTCACCTACATTTGTTTATCGTTACCAGCGAAAACATGATTGGACCCAATTCATTACGTAGAGAATAGTGCTCGAAATCCATTGACTTACAAATAAATGGACGACGGGTCTAATACAAAAACCACGAAAAAATGTCCCAAGTCAACCTATTTAAACGTAGTGACATGTAAAGGAATACGAAAAAGCTAAAACGTTGAATTTAAATTGTAATGTCATCGCAGTACTGTCTAATTTTGCTTGCTTCGCTGTCAGTCGAACAAACGAAGACTAAAGCGTGAACGACGCTCTGTTTACTATTTTAACGCCCTATAAGTTCGGACACTTTTTAGCTCGGACCCGACGTCCATATAATTGTAAGTCAATGTCGATATCGTTCATTATACTAACACTCAAAAGTATAAGCGAAAAATATATTAAATAAATAAAAAAGAAATAAAAAAATATAATAAAATCGATTATTTCAATTATGCTAAAAGGTCACACTCACATTTGGACTTCGCGCGCATGCGGCGGCACACGCAAATGATGATGATGCATAGAATCACGACCACGATCAGTAATGCCAGTGCTATTCCTCCGATGAGGATCAGTTTCTTCTGGTCTTTCCACCACGGCAGTGCTCCTGTGAGAAACATTTTTCAGAATCATAGCTCGATCAACGCAAACAAGGTATTCTCGTGGTCTGTGGAACGTGAAGATACCCTCGACCTTTTCATGATGAGTTGTGTACCAAGTGTTATCTAAGTGTATTTTATAAAATTTTTAGCACAGTATCATAAAAACCATAACTATAAAATCTTATAAGGGTTGTACATGTTTATCGTTGCAAGCACTTACCCAAGCTTTCCCAGTTGGCTAAGAAGAAAAAACAGTATTTTTATAAATTGTTGTTAATAAAGGGTGGGTTTAAATTGGTTGAAAAAAAAAAACATGTAACACCTTAAACTATAGACGCTTTTGAGTTGCTCGCTAAATGTTGAAAACCCTTGTTGATGGTCAATCCATTATTATCAGGTAAAGCAAGTTTACATGATTAGTCAAGTGGTGTAAGAGGAACATATTTTCACTCTCACTCACTCGGCTAGGGCCCATTGAAAACCAGCGTCACAACCTAGCCTTGGTTGTGACTTTAGCTGAATGGGATCCTTTTGTACACGCCACAGCCGCACACATGTCACTATAGTATTATGTAACTTGTTGTTGAAATGTTTTTATGCTGTTCTTTGTGTTGTTTCTGTTCTAGTTATATTAGTCTTTGTTTTTATGTTTTTTTTTTATATTGTGGCGTTACAATAAATGGTTTCTATTCTATTCTATTCTATTTTATTTTGAGTCAAATATTTTAAGCTTGTTTTGTGTTGTTGCTTGTTCACTACGCAAAAGTGTTGCCCGCTTGCAAGCAGCTAGTGATTTCTGTCGATAATTTCCTCACCATCAACATCCTTCCAACAAGGCTTGGACATGCCAATAGTGTTATTGGCGTAGCAGAGGTATCTTCTATGCATGGTGACGCTGGAGCTTAGAGTAAGGTAGCTTCGTGGTCCTTCATCACTCCTGGCTTTGTATGTAAGGGTATCGTTTTCGTTGCGAAGTTTCCATGTAAAGGAGACCTGAAATTGAGTTGAAGTTGAAAATTAAATCAATTTTACTAACTTAATTCGAGATTCCCCTATACATGTATGATTCTTATATTGTAGATGGTAACCTATCACAAAATCGAATTTTTTTTGTCCGAAATAACGTGTGTCCGAATTTTCATTACACTGAAAACCGAATTTTATCGAAGCAGTTGTTCTTTCAGGATATGTTGAATGTTTATCGCAAAGATACGATTAGGTGCGGTTAGGTTGGGTTAAGTTACGTTTAAAAGAAAAAACATTTTCCTCTCAAAATTACTTTCGAGGTTATGAAATTTCGATCAAACGTTATTTCTGGAAAATGTCATTTCGGACATATATACACAAAGCACTTCGTTTCTTTCTTCATAAATTTTCTGGTCATTTCTGGTCTGGACCTAGAATTGAACCTTGAGTGACGCCCGTGCTAATTGCAGACTCTGATAATCTCAACGTTGACAACGACTCTCTGTATGCTACCACTGAAATATGATTTAAGAAGGTCGAGGTCGCGGCTCGCCATATCATAATGGCGAAGTTTCCTGACCAGAGTATCATAGTGCATACAGTCAAATGCATATTTAAATGTGGTAAATCTTAAAATCTCTTAAAGAAAGTGCACAGTGAAAGATAAAATAATATGATAAGAGTTACAATATACAACTATAAATAGGCACAGTATTTTTTTCATTTTTTTATATATTTTTTTAAATTATTATTATTCGACTTGAAAATTATGAAACGCATTCTGAAAAAACTAGAGTTATATCAAGGAAAATGTGCTTGAAATACTCTGAATCTTGGATCCAGATCCAAGTCCAGGCTTGTATTTAAGATTAGGCTTGAGGAGCTTAGGCTTGGGTTTGCCCTTTGGTCTGTGTTGGGCGATATAAAAGTATCGATATGTACACCAGCCTATCAAGCGTAGTATTAATATAAAAAAACTATTTCGTAATAAATCATTTACATACCTCTATAGGATTGGCAATTGCAGTACATACTAAAACTTGTTCACCTTTTATTTCCACTCTCTTTATACTGCACTCCGGTACAACTGTAACACGAAATAATTTAACCATATTGAGTATAAAAAAATAATAATTTGTATCAGTAATAATAACAAAGTTCTTTTATTTCGCATACCTATCTTAACATACGAAAACATCATTTTATTACAGCTTATATACACTATTTTGTAAAATACTAACAATCTAACAGGACTATATTACGTTTAGAGCGACATATTTTTGTACGAATGTAAAATCTAAAGAATTATTAAATGACTTACACATAACATCCAAAAGAACAGTTGTATTCACAGATCCATGCCGATTGTAGGCCTCGCACACGTAGTTGCCTGCGTCCTTCCGTTGTACTTTTCCGAGGAGTAGTGTATTGGAGGACGATAGGATGAGGGAGTTGTTCGTGTGGTCTTTGCCTCCGCTCTTGCTGGGGTTTTCCCGACGCCAGGAGTAGCTAGGCATTGGAAAGCCTCTGTGGAAGGTAAAAGTGTTGTTACTCAATTGTTAATTATGTACCCTCAGTAAAAAAACGCATTATCTCGATTTATATCAATATTCGTTTTCCAAGCATTCATCACATGTGTAAAATTATGCATCTTTCTGTCTGATCGCCGCGTTTGTAGCAGCTGTAGAATTGAAGATAATTTTCGTGCATGAGCTATCTTTTTCTTGTGTAATATAAAATTACTCGCATATTTTCAATTTCGCATGTTACAAAATTAGGTCTAAACGCAATCACAACATGCAGACCTAAACCTCTAATCTGATTCGTGTCACAGCTGAAATGTTGTAATTTGTTTGTGCCATGTCCAGCTTCCTAACTGACGTTATTTGCTAGTTAACCGGTTTTGGTGAATGTTGTGCAAATTCCATTGTAGCTCTTTTTATAGTTAATAAAAGTATTTCAGTTTTCAGTTTATTAAGTATCTGTGGGATTGGCCATGTAATTAGGATGCATCTCAAAATGTGGGCTAGATATGTAATGGATGCAACAAAAATAATGATTTATTTTATTACACTATGGTTTAGGCTTGGAATTGGGTTGACTTGGGCTTGAACTTTGGTTTGGGCTTTGCCTTGCAGTAGCACACAATAGAGACTATAATAACAATAGCTACGTATAAACTGACTTACCTAGCGGAACAAACTACTTTAGCTGGAATCTCGTTCTCAACTACCGGCACAGCTTTTGGTGTCACCGTTATGTTTTCTGGCTCGTCTGAAATTTGAAAATGGTTCAGAGTTAGCTATGTTAAGATAACAGCTGGTTTAGTGACATTTTGTGGCTTGAGTAAGTAAATTGGTAGGATTATTTAATAATAATTACGCACACACTCATAGCCGGACTAGGAAAACAATGTATCGCCAAGGATATCCACATAGCCAACCACAAATTACACCCAAAGTCACGAGAGAAATAAAATGTAGGCCATACAAATATTTCTCCCAGTCTAGGAATTCAACCTGGGTTCGGCCACGGAGGCAGTTAAAATTTGTCACATTGTTGACCAACAAAATCGACCGATTTTAATTTGTTTGGAGACAAGGGAGGCAACGTTCTTGTGGCTTTGCCATCATGAGTTTTGGACGCCCAGTGTTTTATAACAGCCATCGTCGGTGTACTTACACTCTACAGCAAATTTAGTGGTGCTGTTGACAGGCGGACCGGCGTCGTTCCGCGATGACCGGCAAGTGTAGCTTGCGGTGTCCGTCGCGCGGTCAAGCACGCCGCCGGGCCACGCCGCCATGTTCCAGAACTGGGAAATAAATCGTTGATAGTTGGAAAAGGTAAAATGTGTTTATGAATTTCACCAAGGAAATTCCATACATCAGAATATTCCTAAGACACATTGAAGACGCGTGGCTGTACCAAAACACAACCGATATAGTGGACTTTGGTTTAAACGCTTGGAAGAAATGCATGCCCAGATATCTGATGTATCCATATATATGTATACGTCCTATAGTAAGGGCACGGGTCACTGTTTCTGATGGACACAGATACGCTTCTCGTATCGCTTATTAGCTCTCTTTACACAGTCACTCTTTATTCCTAAGATTTGTTGTATCTACCACTGGCTGTTTTTAAATAAATAAATAACCTGTTTTTTGTGTTCATTTATTTTTCTTGTTATTATTTAAAGAGTAAATTCCATTCATTTATACACCGTACAGCTGCTTTGTGCACCATTAACATTGTCCTTCACCTGTGACTCCGTAATCATTTGTAAGGTTGGCACGAAGAGTTCGCTGTCGCGATCACATATTTTTTGTTCTATTAAAAAAATGCTTTCATTTTATAAATTGTGCATCGTAGTTATATGAGTACAAGGACTCTTGAGACTGTCAAATACATATGAAAATATTCATATAAAAATAATTTCCATGGTTTTCGAAATGTGTTTCGAGAAGCTTCACTAAATATATATAGTCTCCAGCAGGATATATTACTGGGTCTAAAACGTCACCCTGTATGACACTGCTTTGTTGTAGTCCTTGTGGATTACCAAATGTGGGAACTTACCAAAGTAGACTCGGTGGCTTCAAAATCATTCCGGTTAACTTGTGGCTCGATGGTCCTATTAACGATGTAATATCGATCGGTCTTCTGTGGGTCGATTAAAACACCGTTCTTCAGCCACTCCACTGTGCACAGCGGAGCGCACTCCACCGTGCAGGACAGAGATATGTTCTGAAAGAGAAAATGGTATATCGAGTTCTTAAGTTTTTTCGAAACTGACTCGGTACATTTGTGTTCAAACAGACGAACGTTCCAGATTCTTTTCAGATCCCATGCCTTTATATCGTAATATATTATAATCGTGACCATGAGACCTGTAAAAGCCCAAAACGTTGGTTTCTATTAATCTTATTTTGTTTTTTTTTATGATACCAAATGTCAGGACGACCAAACGAAACGAAGGCTAACGATCTCAACAAGCGCTTGGTGGTAAGTGATACGCCTGTCCATAACAGTTGTAGTGCCATTCAGAGCTTTATAACATAAAGATCTGAAGGTCACTCACCCCGAGACATAGTTTGACAAGTCCCATGTACCTCTAATTTGACCAGCACCCTTACCCTTCAGAACCGATACCATCCATCCTCGAGATTTGCTCCTAAGCAATTCGCTTATAGCAATACGTAATTTTCTCTGTGCATGAACGACAGGTTCATCATATCGGATTTAAATCTAGTGTTCTCCTTGCAAACAACTCATACCTACAAAAAAGTCTGGATATTAATCTAGAATTTTGTCACTGTTATTGTGTCTTACTCATGTTTCAATGATAAAATTCTATTAATCAATTTTAACCTTTCACATGAACTTCTATTTGGTACAGGAGGTAAATCTACGTTGGCTACAATAAATTTTAAAAACAATTCTTTGATATTTTTGTTTTCGCCGGTGTATTGCTCGTACACCTCGCGACATTTATCACCAATAACGTGCAGCAAAATATTTATTTGTACTTTAGGATCTTTTTGTGATAGCTCGCAGCCTTCATAGTAAATATTAAACACTTTCTTCCATCTTTCCCACTCGGTTGCACAAATTACCAGATGTTACGTTAACCAAATTATTTTCAAAAATATACGGTCGCGGTAGCTAAAATTGACTCGCATTTTTTCTATTTCACTTTTTCTTTTCACTCTTAATAATTATATTACCGATATGTTTACACTTCACATCACTATGTTTTAATTAAATCACTGCCAAATTTCTTAATTTTTGGTCTCTAAATACAATCAGGTAGTACCGGCTGCGCCATGTCCAGTTTAGATACGTGGGGACGTCAATCAAACTCCAGCGTTCGGTCAAGGCTACTTTTCTATATTTCATTGATACCTACATTCAAATAACAATTATTTATACCAACTCCTACAACATTACCGCTTGGCTGCAGAAATAGATAGATAAGGTGGCAGTACTTCCCTGAATGAGCTTTCACAAGGAGCTCTACAGCTACTAAAATGAGACAGCTCCAATAGAAGAACGACATAGAAGAATTGAAGAGCGCATCCAGCTCCATAATGACAGCTGTATCAAGAGACGGGACTAACTAGTCGTTCGCTTGATACTGGCCTATCTATAACAATTGCAATGCCACTCAGTTAACTCGCAAAGATCTGAGGAGCACTGCCATTGCACCCGTCAGCCTGAGGCATAAAGTAGACGAACCCCATGTACCGGTACTATCACCAATACATTTTTGCTTTGCGACAGAAATGGGTACGTTAGCAGTACTTCCCAAGACTATGCAACGTAATACTAATACTACATTACTCCGAAGCCCTGGTTTGTGAACCAATATTGGTTTAAAAATATGTCACTCACTTGCGATTTGTAAAGAGCCCCACTGTAGTGATTCATCGCGTATTTGAAGCTCGGCGGAGCTGAAACAGAGAACAGGTTTGATCGCTTCTGGAACTAATTAATTAGTCGCTATTGGTCATGTGAAATAGTGGCAGTATTCTAGTAGGAGAACAGATGCTTCTCAGGTGAGAAATCGATGGTTCACGACAGCTCTTGCTAAATAAGGCACCATACTTACTGCGTCGGCGGTTCAAGCAACAGCGACACTCGTAAAGCCTTATTCGCTCTTATTGAATGGATACAAAGTTTTTTCGGACCGGCTCAAGCTGATTCGTGTGTATAACTAATAAGCGTGTGTAACAATGGAGGAAACTAATCATGATGAAACCTGCACGATGAAGAAGTTCACAAACTTTACTAAATGTATAGTAATGTAGGGAACGTTCGGCCAGGTAGCGGACTTCGGTTCGAATTGAGTCCTGTGCTGAGTAGTGGAATGTATAATAGGATAATGATGAAGAATGATTGGTTGAACAAGTATGGCGTACATATACCTCCCAAGATTCGCTTTGGTATGAGCAAGACGGTTAATATGGCCAATGGTGGAAGGTTTGTTGCAGTTCCGTATTTGGAAGAACGTAGAATGTACAGATTGTAGTGTTAGATATTTTGGACATTGTATTGTTAGATCGATTACATAGAATGTATTGTATATCAATATAAATTCCGCTTATTTTAAAGTTCCTAAACCTAAAGTAAACCATTTTACAGTTTCGAAAATAAGGCTTTAGTACAATAGTATTACAGTACTAATTACAGTGGTATTATTTTAAGATCAGAACACTGGTGACAGAGCGATTCCAGTAGTTTTCGAACTGAAAAGTGGTGATTTTTTTCATACCAAAACCCTAAAGTTATCAATAATAATTGTGTAAGAAATGTTATACTGACCAAGTACATCAATAGAAGTAAAAGCCGCCTCGCCCTCTCCTCCCGCGTTGATACCACGACAAGAGAAGTTGGTCCGATGGTCCAAAGTGACGGGGTCAATTGTCCAGTTTTGCGAGACGATATCGCTGACTAAACGGCCTCCACGGTGCCAACGGAATCTGGAATCAGATGAAGATGATATAATGAATGTAGTAATACAGAGGTCTTAATATTAGTTCCCAACGTTCAATGCCTGTCTGTCTCGAAAACTCTTAAGTTCAAAAGGTAAGAGATACGCACTCTAAGTGTCGTTCTAACGGGTCTTGATCCACAATATAATAATAAACACCTTTCAATTTAGTTACCATGGACTGCCCTCTACGCAGAACGTGAATGGAGGGGAAGCAAACTACCGCGTATGTTCTATTATGACGCTTCGGCATGGCCAACTACAAGGCGAAGAAGCTTGGAGTGCTGCACTCCGAGATTACTTGAAGAGCTCGGAGGGCACGAGTAGGATCCTCAACTCACCCCACCTAAAATAGAATTTGAGTCGCTGACACCAGCTCCTTAGCATGCTTGTGATTGGTTGAATATTTTCCCTTACTTTCCGCATCCCGCAAACCGTAGCAGAGAGGCGATTCGTTGAGAGCAGCAGCAGCAGTTCTGTCGCGACGAGCTTAGGGACCAAATTTTAAAAAAGGTTGATTTTTAGGGTAGGCTTACCTATGAGCTTCAGGTCTTCCTTTTTCTTGTACACTGCAGCTGAGCACCAGTGACTTCCCTTTCACCACTCTCCAAGGAGAATACGTTAACTTTGCTGGTCCAGGTGGATCTGAAATGTTACAATAAAACATACAAGTCAATACATCGTTTAGGCAAGATTGTGATATGTGTGTATAGCATCACTTTGGCACTTGTCTATTGAATAAAAGAGAAGTCCAGTTTTAAAGATTTATGGTGACTTTAGTTTGTAGGAAAACAGATCGCTGTTTTTTTAAACGTTTATTGAATTCGGTAGACAAATTTATGAACTTAAGTCCTATTTTCAAATCACTTGTCTACTTACAATTAACAACAAGTTCAGTCTTGGCACTTTCGTTTCCCCACCCAGCAGTGTTCTTGCCCATACAAGAGTAATTTCCGTGGAAGCTTTTTGTCGTGTCTTGGAGAAGTAGCATTGATGGATCCACTTCGTTGCATAGGTTCTCTGTAAGATAGTTGAGAATAAATTTTTTTAACTCTATTTATTTAAGGGCTTTGATCATTATTGAACATGTCAACCTCATTACAAAAGTGATACATCAAGAAAACGCTTAATAAAATCCAGACAGATAAATGAAAATACTATCTAATATAATTTTTTTTGGTGTAGAAATTGACAAACTGGCTGAGATTATCCTATTGATCGGTGGCACATGCACTAAATAATGAATATTTCTTTTCCTAAGTCTTCTATACATACAGTTGCGCTGGTTTTCCCTATTTTCCAAATATGCTATAGCTTTGTGGTGTCAAATAATGTCGTACTGTAATACTATGCTCTATACAGTACCGTCTTACCCTATGACTTTTGGAATTGACTGAAGCAAATGTAACTGTTTTCTTACCATCATTTTGTGTCCCGTTGCATTCAGGCAAATGTTTCAATACCTCCCCATCCAAATACCAGATGACCTCATCCAGGATCGGCGGATTACCCGAAGTAACTTCGCAGGTCAGCGTCACGTTGCGATGGTCCGTTTCTAAGATTGGGCTTGGGTAGTTCATGGAGAGGCTTACTTGCGGGCGAACTAAATAAAAAAAAGTATTGAACTTAAGTCAGATTTTTGTATCATTTTCAACAGCTGAAGTTTGGTCTCTTCAACAAAATGCTGGCATGAAAGATCTCGACTATCTGCACTCAATGGCTCTCAGTGGCTTTAGCTGTTATGCACTGGAGTTGGAACTGTGCGTAACAACCCTTCTGTCGCTTTGTCGCTACTCGAGAATTTCCGGCAATATAGATAATCAATTTCCATGTTATAATTGCATAAATTCATGACAATAGTAATGCTACAGAAGAAAAACGAAAATGGATTTAACGACGTATACTTACACAACACATTAACATCAATACTGGTTTCACTGGTTCCATTGCCAACTGCATTGGCTAATAGACAAGTATAGTTGCCCATGTCGTCGCCACGAACGTTTCTGATGATGAGAGCGTGTTGGTCTACTGTACCGCCGTTGTAGTGTGATGTACCATTGACTTCGACACGTGTATTATTTCGATACCTGAAAAGTTTCAAGTAGTGGTGATTAAGTTCCATAGAAATATAGTATACAGTTAATAAACTACAGGTTTGGTTACATGTCGTTAAAATATCTTATGAAATAATTTACTTAAGTTTATAAGCAGTGATTGGAATTGAGGGAGTTAATTTATCTAAAGTATGAACGTTTTCTTAGTATGGACATACACAATTAGTCATCAATGCGTGTAAAATTTCTTTCTTGACTGTTTATATTCTAAACATTCCAAAATATAGATTGCCTCATGTTTATTATTTAAATGTCTAAATTATTTATATACGTAAGTACATTTAGAAACACAATTACAATATTATTTTCTGAGACAATAAATTGTAGCAAATTTAAAAGGAAATAGTAAAGTGTCGCTAATATACCCAAATATCTACAAATAAAACGTATATTCAAATATAATGAGTTCCGAGAAGTCCCGGGTTTTGTAGAAGGGACTTTCCACGACTTTCTTTAGTTTAGCTAAATTAACTCCCACGATTCCGACCTCCTTAGAGACTTCCGTCAGTTTTCTTTCTACTGTCCCTTTTTATCTTGAAATAGTTATCCATCCATAGTTTAATTTACCGTATCAATTTGTTAAGAAAGTAATTACCAGATAACTTGATCCAGAGACGAAGGATTGCTCTCATATTCACATTTGAGCAAAATATTAGCACCTTCCAGGACAGTCATGTTGGGTGGCTCCACACGAACGATGGGAGGGTCTAAATAACAAAATTTCAATAGTATTGGTATAGATAAAGCAATTTTATGCAATATGATAAGTCAGAATGCAAAAATATTGATCAGCATTACAAAAGGACGTGGATAAAATAACATATGCTTCATTGTCATCGACAGATGCACGTCCGATGTTAAAAATAGGCTACTTTAGTCTACACAAATTATTAGTTCTGGGACATAGGACTGCTTATTTCGATCTTCATCAGGTTCTTGGCCGATCTATTGAGCTTGTCCTCACTATTACTTGTTAGCTCATGAATGTTAAAAAGGATAACATACACCAAATCTCCAGCTCCTTAGTAGCCCTCAGCGGTTGTTCCCTCATTTGCTCCATGACGTCGTTGACTGCTTCACACTGGAACTTGGCTCCATTCTCGTAGCGTGTTGCTTCGAACGTCAGGTTGGATATTGTTTCAAAGGTTGAGTCGCTCTATGGATAGTAAGAAGTAATGACTTAATAATGTAGACTTTTCTGGAATATTCTAGCTCAAAAATGCACACGATACCTAGTGCAAGACTTTGACTAAAATAACCCTATTTCAGTTTTCTGACATTTTCTATTGCAAATTTGACGAAACATCAGGCGCCAATAGTATTCTTGAAAATAAAATATGTTTAGTCATATATATAAAACAATCGCTACTTATAAGTAGCGATTGTTTTTGTCCACTTTCAAGGTAAATCGTGTGATCAGTTGTAACAAGTACCGGAAAAAACACAACTAGAGTCAGACTTGTCTTACGATATCATTGTGCGTTTACACGAATATTTCTCTCAACAACGCCGAATCAATTTATGCTGAATCTAAAAACCTATATTTTTAGTTGTCATCTTCACTCAACTTCCGCTCCTTTTGACGAATGTGGAAGTTAGTTGTGAACGGACAAGTTGGTAAAGCCCAACCAAACTATGTGAAATTACCACGACCAAATTGAAGACGATCTAAGACAAGGCCACGTCAAGAGTGCCATTAAAAGACGAACGTGTATATTTTGAACGTACACACTCATAGCCTTGCACTACAGAAACCTTGTATCGCGAGTTGCCATGGACACAAACATAGACAACCACAAATTACACCCAAATTCACGAGGGAAGTAAATGTAGGTCATACAAATATTTCTCTCGGGACCTCTGCATAGCAGACCAGCATAGTAAACGTTCGACCACAATGGTAAAGTGTTCAAATACAGTGATACGTGTTGATGAGAAGAAAGATATGTCCCCGGATCGTAGCAAGTGGAAGTGGTATCTGTTTACCTCGATGGGTAAAGGGCGTGCAGAGTGGGTATATATGTAGGTAATGTTAAGATGTATGTTGTAAATTTGACCAACTAAATTGACGATAAAACATTCAAAAAGAAACGAAAGACTAAAAATACAAATTTCGATATATCATTTAAGGAAATGTCAACTGCTACTCGTAATGAGATAAACCTCACGAAATAGGCATCTACACCAGCCCGTTATCGATGAGACAAAGCGAAAAGAAATACGGAGGTAAGAATCTATTTTCCGTGGCGTAGAAACTTACGACACAAATTAAATAAACAATAAACAAGGCAAGAAACGCGGTTTGGAGTTACGAAAATAATTCTTTACCAGTGACGATAGAGTTTGAATTCCACCACCTAAATTTACAAATGTTAATAGTATAAGCAAATATGAGGGCGACGTAATCTATAATCTGCATCTTTAAAGATCCAAAGTTTCAGTAAAAGACGTAATTGTAGAACAATTTAATAGGCGTCTTGCTAAATGAATTAGTTGACAAAGCCTCGCGCCCTCGGAGGGTTGAAGTCTGCTATTTTCTATGCATAAGTAATTAATAGACATTTACATTGCTAATACTTGTGGGGTGACTTGATGGGGATATAGATGCTGGAAGTGACTTGGTATAATATCAGATATTGTAAGGATCTCTATTATACAAACGTATATCAAAAGCGGTTGTATTCGTATAGGAAACCTTAGATAATAAATCATCAGATCCCCATTATCCAGCAGCACCCTTACGTGGTTTATAGTTGACGTGGCGGGACAACTCCGATCAGTACCGCGTCGCACTGCACTTCATGAAAAAAACCCGCGGGTTATAGGACCCACCTGTTATTAGCACCTACCTGCCGAACTAAAAAACGAATGTTGTGAGGCAACGTTCAGGTGCAGACTGAAGAACCTTTTATTGGAAAAGTCCCTTTACTCAGGAATAGAGTACACTCAAAGTACTTAATAAATAATTAAATTATTATATTTATTAATGAATTTGACATTCATCGTATTATTATATACTGTAATATACATTTATTAGTTATTAAGAATCCATATTGACATTTTCTGTATACACTTGACATTCTTAGTTTAAATCAATTATTTATTAGTTTAAATTAATTATGTTGATTTTGTATATTATATAATTATTTCTTCATTATTTTGTAAACTGACGCTCACTTTTCGAAGAGTAGTATAAAATGACATGTAATTGTATTTGTATGAAATTTGTTGTTGTTTGTTGTTGAGAGAAATAAACTAAACTAAACTATGATGGTTCAAACCCAACAATTACTTCAAAAAAAAGGTTTTCGACTTTCGAAATTTCGAAATTCGACTGCATTTTTTTTGTGTATGTTACGCGTGTAAGTCAATGTATGGACTAAAATTTAGTCACTAAATCATAGTAAGGATTTTAAATTTTAAAATGATTGTGAAATCCAACGGTTCAACATTTAAGCTTAACGCTGAAGTTCTTTTAATTGACTCACGTCAACTCATTATACGTCTCACTACCGGGCACGGGTCTTCACTACGGGGAGAGAATTCAGTCCACAGTCTGCCACGTGGGTCAATGCTGGTTGGAGGCTTCACAGGATTTCCGAGAATTGTGAACCTTTTTCGACATGTATGTTTTGTCACGATGTTTTCACTAGTCGTTAGCGAGAGGTGTTGCTACTAAGCAATCACAAATGTATGTAACATATAAACTGAAGTCCTTGTCGCTGTACATACCGCCGGAAAGATTTTAAACGTTGACAACTAAGAAGCAACTTTCAAGTGTAAGGCAATTATTAATTTTCATGACATTGGGATAGAATCCCACTACGGTTTCAGAATATGTGCACCGTTACGGTACCTACGTCCATATGTTGGTTTTTACTTGTCACTTCCATTGACTGTAGTTTTATGTACAAAACTGAAAACTAACACTTGACGCTTTGAGATTGTTGCGAGTCTCTGGGCTAGTTATATAATTTATACGTCGCATATTACCGCGGCATTTATAAGGCTCTATAACAGTTGTTTTAACCGTATTCTAGCGGCCTCCAAGGGCATTGATAGCCTTTGTATGATAGATAGGCCGCTGTTTCCTAATCTAACCAAATATAAGCAATATTTTGTTTGGGGAATTTTGATTCAGCAGTGATAGCGTAGTTAGTAGGACACATACCTTGTATTTAGCAGGGTATGGCACACTGCACTACCTACCGCGCAGAGTTTTAATCAATTTGTGTCTATTCCAGTAATTATCGTTTGGATTTTCCGTAACAAATAATCATAGGATTCAGTTGACATACGTGTGTACTTGAAAAATTTATGTTCATATTTTCTTAAATCTTTGTAATGAAGTTGAAATGATCCATTTATCGATCTGTTTCTTAAAAAGGGAAGTATCCAATATCTTCGGTACATTTTTATTTGAGTAAACAAAAACCAAATTGATAGTATTAACTGCAGCGTCCTGAATGAGTTCTGTATTAATAACCATTATTGTCAAAGAAGGATCTCATCTACATGTTCAGTCACTACGGCGATCAACTACGAAGTGAGTACTTTGAGTGGCGAAGGGCCGCTAGGCCGCTGCCCCCGCGCAGATTAAACCGAGCGTTGACGCGTCTCTTCTTTGTAATGTAACAACTATTAGCGAGTAAAACGGGAAGAATGTTAAACTATTTTTTTTATGTTAGTATACAGACAGATAGACATAGACAGTATATAGACAGAGTGGACAAGGAGCGAGCGTGAGTGATACTGGGAATATGTAAATTAGTCGTATTCATATGGTTTCAAAAAAAAAGGAGGAGATTCTCAATCCGATTGTATTTTTTTGTATGTATGTTATGCGATAAACCGATTTTGATGATTCTTCTTTTGTTGAAAGAGGGTACCTCAGTATTGGTCCCGTTTAAATTTGATGAAAATATTCCACTTCTAAGGGTGGCAAACAAGGGGATGAATCCTGTTTCATGCCCTTCCCAGTAACCTATTTCATTAAAACTTGACAAATAGATGTAATTCCACGAAATTTTGAGGTCGACTTTTTTTAAATAAAAACGCTACAATTGTTTATATATTAATTGTTTTTAGAATAATTTCTGAAAAGTCGTAGTCGCCTAATGGTTTAACCTACCGTATCTCAAGCGAAGTAATCTATCACAAACTCGATTTTTTTTTTCCGAAATAACGTTTGTACGAATTTTCATTACACCGAAAACCGAATTATAACGAAACCGTTGTTCTTTCAGGATATGTTGGATGTTTATCGCAAAGACACGATTTGGTTCGGGTAGGTTAAGTTAGGTTTAAAAGAAAAAACATTTTCCTCTCAAAGTTACTTTCAAGGTTATGAAAATTCGAGCAAACGTTACTTCTGGAAAATGTCATTTCGAACTACTGATAGATACCCTCAAGCGGAGGTCGTAGGTTCGAATCCAGTTTATGTGCGAAGTTTAATTCGAAATTTACCATGAGCTTTTCGGTGAAGGAGAACACCGTGTTGAAACCTGTACCAAGGTTCACATTCCTCGGAAATCGTGCAAAGTCCCCCAGCGTGGCGAACTATGGCCTAAGCCCTCGCCAGAGAGAAGACCCTGGTCCAGCAGTGGAACGTACATATAGGTTGATGAAATAATTTTTACACATGGGAGATTATTCAAAGTTTATCGTGACAGTGGTGTACTTGAATTGGTTTGTGAAAATCAATAACGCGTGGCACACAGCCACCAGGATTAAACTGGGCCTGGTCTTTCAACGTGTTGTGTATCCAGATATGCGAATTACTGTAACATCAGGTCAACGCACTTGCATTCGCAGCAGAAACATGCGTCCCGTGCAATAAACGTGACCGCTGACAAAATTATTGTTTTACGTTTTCCGGCCCCACGTTCCTAACACAGGACATAGACTAAATTCCTTTAGTTAAGATTCGATTGTTCTGATGATATTGTTGTTTTATATTGTTATGTGTGGTAGTTATAGGGTTGTCACCGACAGGTCTATGACACTGAGTGTTTTTATCACCGAGTTTATCACTAAGTGGAAGAGGGAAACGGCAGCTTCCTGGATGCTTTAGTTAGCCTTTTATTGATTTACAATAAGGTCGAAATTGAATTCCCTCTTTTTCTCATCGACATTAAACATATCGACTGTGAACTGGCAAGCGATTTTGACAACTTTACAGGTAAAGGAAAAGTCATTAATACAGTATCAGGTTTATTAAATAAAAATACGTAGTGTATGTACACTACTATGTACATGTTTAATAAAAATATTTGAAAACTACGTATCTTTCTTTAATAAACCAGGCGCTATTTAATGACACAATCAATTTTTTTCCTCATCCTGTAAAGTTATCAAAATTGAGATAGTACCGATTGCCAGTTCACAGTCGATTATGTTTTTTTTTTATATCAAATGACAGTACGAACGTGTCGTGCGCTTAATGGTAAGCATTTTTAGCAGCAGCAGTGCTCGTGCAAGAGTTCGTCCAGGGAAGTACTGCCACCTTACCACGTTCCGGTTTTGAAGGGTAAGGGTGCTGTTGAAATTACAGGCACATGGGACTTGTCAACTTATGTCTCAGGTTGATAGACGCAGTGGCAGTGCCCCTCACATCTTTGCGTTTAAAGCCTGGCGTTTTGAGATATATATAGCGAAATGGGGTACTTTGTACTATCATATTCTGATATTTAATTTATAGAATTTAATAAAACAATCCGAGAGCGGAACTAGGTCACGCCATACTAATCATTTGTTAGGAGCTATATTAGATAAGATCACGTACGTTGCTTTCATCTCCAAAGTAAGTAACTAAATTAACGGTACCACAAGCACCCAGACCCGAGACAACATAGAAAAGTTAGTTTTTCTACATTGACTCGGCCGGGGATCGAACCCGGGGCCTCAGAGATGGTGATACCATGAAAACCGGTGTGCAAGCCACTCGACCACGGAGGTCATCGAGGAGCTATACTAGAAATTTAGACATCTCATAACAGGCTGTTACAATGATGTAAGTAAGACAAATTTTCCAAAATATGACTAAAAATCGCGAAGAAAATGAACCCTATAAAAAATATTTGCTAATTAAAAAAATACACATTACACTTTTTATTACACCATGTAGTACACACATCAAAAAAAGTTTGCGATCAATAGCATAAGCTCCCATAATTCTTTAAATTTAACTTTATCAAGAAAAAATCTATGTTGTATGCTTTCTTTAAATAGGAGTAACCTGGGGTAACCTATCCCATTCTTCAATAGCGGCTTCCCTGAGATCTGGAACTGTCTGGGGACGTGGCTCACGGTTCCATACTGCTCGTTTAAGAGCATCCCACGCGTGCTCTATTGGGTTTAAGTCGGGCGAGCCGGCAGGCCAGTCTAATCGTGTGATATCGTATTCTTGAAGAGCAGCATTGACTCGTTGAGCTCGATGTGCGGGCGCATTATCATCGACCAGTACAAATTGGTGCCCATGGTTTACTCGGAATGGTCTGACGATATCATCAATAGCAACTGCTTTGTACATGTCTGCTGTCATGAAGCCCCGATACGGGATCAAAGGCGTTCTAGCTCCAATCATAATGCCACCCCAAAAGGACACCGATTTTCCGCCTTGCTGAACTGTTCCAGTGGCAGTTCTTTGTCTTTCACGGTCGCCTGGTCTTCTCCAGACACGGACACGTCGGTTATCTGGATGAGTGCTGATTCGGGATTCGTCAACGAAGAGACAGTTTTGCCAAATGTTTTCGTCCTCACCTTCTTCATTTTGCCGAAGTCTAGCCCACTGCAATCTTCGTTGTTGACGTTGCCGGGAATTGAGCGGAGCTCGCCAAGACCTCCGTGTTCGTAATCCAGCCTGGTGCAAGCAATTGCGAACGGTCTGCGTGCTAACTTCAAGCCCAGAGGCGGCCCTGACTTCTGCTTTTATTTTAGTGGCGTTGATTGTTGGATCACGGGCTGCCAGCAATCTAATATAGCGCTTTTGGGCAGCTGTCAAAACAGTTGGGCGACCGCTGCGGGGTCGGTCAGCTAAATTCCCCATTCCGTGATACCTCTGCAACGTAGCCACGACACAGGATTGGGATATAGCAAGTCTGCGTGCTATTACTCTCGTGGTGTATCCTTCTTCCCTCAAAGTTACTATTCTTGCTCGTAAAACCTCTGATAACCTCTTGGCATTTTTTCAATCACAACTTTCCGCGAAAAATATCTTGAATCGCTTATAATTGACTAAATCAGATTTCTGAATGAGCGTAAGCTAGGACTGAAAGCCTTTTTATATGAAAAAACAATTGAACGGGGTCATTGTTTTATGTTCTAATTTATTTTTAAATAAAGAATCTAAAAAGAAGAAAAAATCATAATATAATCTACAGTAACAAAAAAGATTTCAGTTTTTCGAAGTGATCGCAAACTTTTTTTGATGTGTGTATGTTAGAAATTATAAAAATAATACTTACAGTTTGTATCTCCCTCGACTGCACGATCGGACATGAAACAAGAAAATTAAAATTAAAATTATTACAAATAAATTATTCCTCGTAAAAGTGGTGTATGTCACTGGGAAAACATTTGAGAGGTAGACGGTTCAAATCCCTGTGGCTGCTTGTATCTATACAAATAGACACGTGCGCTGATTGTACCACAAAATAATAAATACTGTAAAAGTGCTCAGTTTGCGTGACACGTGCGCCAACAGTTCGCGGAGTTCCGCAAACTTGAGCTTAATAATTTTCGCTTTGTTAGTTATGGTCCTATCAATTATATCGCGCAAAACCTCGTAAATAGTAGAAAAATGCCTTATTTTACCCGTCACTCGTAATTACACCAGCACCCTAACCCTTCAAAACCGGAGCACATTACAGCTAAGCGGCAGAAACAGGTAACGCAGTATTTCTCTGGACGAACTCTTTCACACTGAGCTTTACTGCTTGTTCAATATCGATGTGAGATCAAGATATCGTATATTTTTTAAATTTTCGTTTAGTAACTCGTTTCTAATGTCATATGAAAAAATGCGGTTTTCTGGTTGGCTAGCGTGGTCTGTGGCTAGCGCAAACGAATCAAGTTTATGCCTAAGTGTACGTAAGAGGGAAGGAAGATGGACGTGGTCGTATCGAATTTTATAAAAACCTAATTTCCATACCTATTTTGAGTTTTCTCACGTCGTAACTGATAATATCAACGCCGGCCGGCAAGTAAAACACATTTTTGAAGACAATAATCAATTTGTGGCGAGTTCTACAGGCTGAGGATTCAGGAGACCCAGCTTTGAAGATCAAGTTAATTTGGTTCACATCGTTTTTTCAATCAAATTTAACCAATTACGATTAATTCCTTAATATATAAAGAAGTTCTCGTACACTGCTACTAAAAATTATATCAAATTAGTTTATTTATAAAACTTATACCTTAATACCTATATTAAATACCTTTTATGCGCTCGAAATCAATCCATTCAACCGTATACGGAGGTATATTTAAGGGTTTACAAAGTATAAACCCATAAAACGAAGTTTAATAACAATAATTCTCCAGTTATCGGCGAGGAACCATAATGGCCGCCGTTTGTGGAAGTGCTAGGTTCAGATTACGGCAAATGAGAGTTTGAGGAGGGCCTGCTCCAGAGGAATACACCTAGGTAGATTGAGTTTTCATAAAGATGAAGGGTTCTGAAGATTGTGATATAGGTTTCCCGCATAATGAACGAATGTATGAATGAAGAAAATGTAACATTAAGTTTCATGATTACCACGATGTTTCACTACAATGATATTCAATTACTTTTTGTGAAATTACTCCACTAGTTTATTATTAAAAAGCCGTGGTAGTCTAATGGTTTGACCTACCGTCTCTCAAGTAGGCCGTGGGTTCGGATCCGGACTAGCACCTCGGAGTTTTCGGAATTTACGTGCGTGAAATTTGAAATTTACCTTGAGCTTTACGGCGGAGGAAAACATTGTGATGAGACTGCACGTGGAAGAAGGTTCGCAACACTCGGAATACGAGTGAAGTCCCCAAACCCGCATTGGGCCAACGTGATGGACTAACTTAACCCAATAACTTACACCAATAACTTGCACCAATAATTCTTCTCCGGCCGCTGCTCTTTCAGTGTGGCCTCTGAGAGGAGACCCGTACCCAGCAGCTTTGATGATGATACAAAGATTGAACACTCACAAACATTCCTTCGATTCGGCTGGATTCAAACCAGCGCCTTTAGCAATCCGTACTTGACGCTCTTGCAACTAAGTTACAGAACGAACTAGCAGACCTTACCAATTTTTCTATGTGCTTCTTGCAGATCTTTGTTCTTATTGGTTTTTAACGACTTTTTTGAAGTGTTACTTCTGATCACGCGCGATAGAGTGACTGCGTAAGGCTGCCTTTCCATCAGAGATATGCGACGTAGCGAGGCGGTGTGTGAGGAAAAAATCCACCAATAAGACTACTTCATTTTCCCAGGCTCGCTTAGCGCAGCTCCGGTGGGAAAAGGTTAGCGGAGCTAAGTATTTGTATATACAAAATAGCCAGAGATGTGTGTGAGGGATGCGGGCGAGGAATGTGTGCAAAACGGTGTAGGAGACTAGAGCTACTAAAAGCATGACACTAACTGACCCTGACTGACTGTGCATAGCTGAAAAGAGTCCGTAACGCATCCTCGTACCGCGCCGCCGTACCTCCTCTCACCTCCTAGCTACCTCGCACAGCTTTGGTGTAAAGGCAACCTTATGCGGGCTAATAACGAATGTAAGTACTTGAGCACAGAACGACGTTAATTACAAAGTGAGTAAGTCAATTTTCTTAATTAAGCATTAGTGAATTTATTATTCTGTAACGCCGTATATTTTTCACTTAATTAGTGTTTTTTTTTCAGCAATTCGCATTAAGGGTGACTAGATGGCGCCTGCTGGTTTAATGGGGAAACTGTCAAAAGGCATGAGTAATGATTTTTCGTAATTATCGGGTCATAATTTTTTATATTAAATTATTGATAAGATCTTCCGGCATCGTACGTAAAAATGTTCAAATAAAGTAATTTTTATTGTTTTATAAAAACATTATTTATATCTCGTCGAACTCGGTGGCTTGTTGTTATGTGAGGTAGTTACGGGTTCAATTCTCGGTAATTTTGCAAATTCATGCACCTCCACTAAAACGATCAATATAATCAAAACATTTGTTTGTACAGGCGGTTGTGTATACAGAACTTAATTGCTGTTAGCTTTTTTTTACAGATTTATGAAGGGCTGTGTCTTTTTATTATGACGGCTTTAATGGTCTAACGGCTAGCACGTTAGACGCCAGGTGACGAGGTTCCGGGTTCGATTACCGGAAGGGTTAATTTGGAAACGTTTTTTTTATTTGTTTCTGGGGTTAAACAGGAGCAGTGTCGATTAGAGCTTTAAATTGCAAAGATTTGAGGGGCAGTGCCACTGCGCCCGTCACTCCTTAAAGGATAGAAAAAATAAAGGAAAGGAGCTGCCCTATCTACGGAATAAACGTACCTACCTAAACCAAAATTGTACCACACATATGGCGGATTTAGTGTTGTACCATGATCATAGATAAGTCAATATCGACATGCAAATGTATGGCTTGAATGTTGAAACTGTTATGTTTGCAAATTTGTACAGTTTACTGTAATCAAATTATGATTAACACTAGGCTACTTTTACTAGGCAAAATGGCTCATTAGCCATTTTAATCAAAATTAAATATTAAGTTATTTATCAATAAAAGTAACAATGCAATTGCATTATTATGTAATCTAGTTCTATTAAAATTTTACTTCAAAATGGAGCGAACAAACGAAGATGGTATTTGATCCAATGTTTATGTTCGGCAGTCCTATAATTTCCAACCATTCTTTCTTTCTTTTTTCATTTGTAGGTAAACTTTAAAAGTAATAATAATGAAATAATAAAAACCTCGCAGTGAATTGTTTCAATAACACAATATCGATAATATGTCTGCTTACAAAAACAACACTATCTCAAAATAGTACATAATAATGTTTACTTTAGTTATGCATGTCCCGCGCAAGTGTCCTCAGGGACAAATCACACATAGCAACACTTTATTATTGACATTACTTAATGATTATTACTAATATAATTAATAATTGTTATATAGGACAAAACACAATTTAAAAATTTCTTTAAAAACACCAACTTATTTCGCTTATTTTAAAAATTTATCTGAATTTTGTCTAATAAAAATAAAACCGACCTAAATTAAATCTCATTACAAAACAACTTCAAAATGGTTTTTTAATTTTAAATCGTGTTTTATTTACATTTTAATTAAAAAAAGAATTATATTTCATTAGAACTCTTGTTACATTCATTTTCATTATTCATTATAGTGTTATTAAAAGAAATTTAGTCTTCAAAAGAAATTGTAAGTTAAGATTATAATTAGCTGAATATTTTCAACGTTATAATGCGCATTACTTTTAAAAAAAACATTCGTCAAATTTTCTAGCAAACCGTGCAAGACTAAGCCACGGAAAGAACTAGCGGACTTTACGAATTTTTGTATCTGCTGATATTTGTTTTGGAAACCTATTGTTGATGTAACGATATTTTTTCTGAGTTTATCCGCTAGAAAGTCCTATTATCCCAAGCCCCACTGTAAATCTGCAGTAATTCAAGGGATATTGCCTTGATAAAGTAACGTTTAATATTTTCACCAAGCCGGTCTAAAATGTAATTAAAAACGGACAAAATTAATTAGGGAGATAACCAGCCCTCAGGTAAATAATGAGTGCTTCATTAAAGATAGGGATTAGGTACTAGCTAGTATTCAAAAATATCTGTTACAACACAAACATAGGGATCACGATAATTAATGACTAATAGACATTGACTTACAATTATATGGACGTCGGGTCCGCGCTAAAAAGTGTCCGAACTTATAGGGCGTTAAAATCGTATACAGAGCGTCATTCAAGCTTTAGTCTTCGTTTGTTCGACTGACAGCGAAGCAAGCAAAATTAGACAGTACTGCGATGACATTACAATTTAAATTCAACGTTTTAGCATTTTCATATTCCTTTACATGTCACTACGTTTAAACAGGTTGACTTGGGACATTTTTTTCGTGGTTTTTGTATTAGACCCGTCGTCCATTTATTTGTAAGTCAATGCTAATAGAATAGAATATACAATTGAGTAACGTGGACAAAAACGTTAAAGACTCAGCATTGCTGTATATCAGTCTTCGCCAGCTGTTCGTAAATATCTAAACAATCTTACTTTGCGTTCGGAAAAAATGTGAGTTGGATTGCGAAATAATGTCGTCTGCATTTTTTGTAACATTCTCGCCTGCGTCATTGGTTGGGGTGCTTTTTCTAAGTGCACTTCCCACTTTATTTTTATTCTTGATAATTTGTGTCGTTTTGGTGTCTAGTTATTACTGATAGTGACGGTGGACATTTTGAAGGTCCTAACAATAGTGCATGAGTGCAGAG